CGAGATTCTGGTCTTGTTATTAAAGGACATTCCATTTAAGCTTGTCTCGGCTTTCGTTACTGGATGGAGGAGGGGGTCAGAACACCTTTCTATTTAAAAAGAAAAGAAAAGTTTCCTCCTTTGGGGCAAATTAAACAAAAACATAGACAATCATGTTCTTCTCCTGAAAAGAAAGTTTTTCTAAGACAGGGGTCGGCAACCCTACAGCTCTTGAGCCGCATGGGGCTCTTTATCCCTCTGCTGTGGCTCCCTGTCACTGGTCGGTGCCACAATTTTGGGAGGAGCTTCTGGTTTGGGGAGGCATCATGGTATGCCAGGGGGAGACTTAAGGGGCGGGTTTTCCGGTCAGCTTCATCATTGATGGGGCTTTTGATTATGGACAGGTAGAGGAAAAAGGATACTTCACTAGGAGGAGACTTTATGGTGGGGGAACCGGACGTCCAGTCGACTTCAGAATCAAACGGGAGGCTTCCGGTTAGGACCTTTGTGGCTCTTTTGAGTGTTTAAGGTTGCCGACCCCTGCTTTAAGACTACAAAAGAGAGGTTGAGCTATGAGTGGAAGAACCTGCCAGCAACAATCAATTCTAGAAAGGAGAAAACTGAGGGATTCTGGGAAGTTGCAGATCAGCAATGCATGGAAAGCTTATTTCAACCTATCTCCAAGTATATCAAATGCATCCTAAAGAGAGGTTATTATTTCAGGCAACGGAAGAACACAAAGGACAGGTTGAACTCACCCCTCATCGAAGGAAACAAGAGCAAAGAGGGACAGATAACTAGTCCAAGGAGAGTAAACTTATTCCTGCTCACCTGCATGAGGAATCTCTCCGTTTCAGAAGCCTTGCCGGCCGCTACACACTGAAAAGTGGCATTCTGTCCAGCATTTACCTCCACATCACCCAGGCGGGAAAAATGAGGTGCTTTAGCTGCCGAAACAGAGATAAACAGACAAAAAGATCTGTGGAAAGACTTCTTTAGTTAATCCCCTCCCACGCAAATGATATCGCTCAAAAAAAAAATGTGTATAAAACAGGTTGAAGGTGGGAGGATTAATTTAAACATACTTTTAAGTAGAGAGTAATTGCTAGAATATCTTTGGGGTGCTAGCTCACTCGCTTACTCGCTTCTCCTCTTTATTACATCTTTATTTCATAAAGGGGCTTTATAAGGACGAGAGCATAGTTCCTCTTTGCAACTTGTTAAAGAAACTACATTTTTTCTTGTCATTGCCAACCCCAAATTGTTGAGGGGGAGCGCTGGGTGGGGGGGGATGTTGTGAAGCTTACTTTCATGCCCCTGGGCAGATAGAAAACCTTTTTGGAATAAACCCAAGTAGTAGCAGAGCCCTCGTATTTATTACCCCTAGTATGATTGCAAATTTCGCCATGCAATCATCTTCTTCACTGCATTATCTGTCATCTTCCCCAGTTGTTATTCTTTTAGGGATTAAAGCTAGCCATAAGGGACCTGGAACAAGTCTGTGCTGCTACCACAGCGGAATGGAGAAAGTTGATCAAAGAAAATGTGACACTTACAGCAGGGGTAATTCAACAGCAGGATGTCATCCAATCCCAAGTAGCCATGCCGCTCAGTGGAAACGACTGCTTCAAACAATACCTAAGGATAAAAAAGAGACATTCTGGTGTTACAACTGGAATATTGGAGTAGAACTGAGGAGACCTTACCACAACTCTGACTCTGAAATTTACTGAGTGGCTCTGGGTTGGGCATTGCCTTAATCTAACCCAGTGGTTCCCAATCTTTTTTTGGCCATGCCCCTCCTAAGCATCTCTGAAATCCTGAAGCCCCTGGCCCTCCAACATATAATTCTTATTTTACTCAAAAAGTGAACTCTATTCATGCAGAGGAAGCCTAAAAGGTCATTAACTTGATTTAAACAAGGTTCAAATTGCTCCCATTAAAAGTCAAATTGCCCCTCTATGGAGCTTGGGCCCCACATTGGGAACCATTGATCTGACCTATTAACTACTGCTGTCAAGGTTCCAATGAATTCCCTAATTAAATCATGAGCCTCGAGCCACGCTTCAAAAGAAATCCAGCTATTCATTAGGAGCAACATGTCGACATGTCCCAAGTGAAGCCAACTCTGACCCCACATAATTTATGGCCCAATTATGACCCTGTTTCCCCCTTCCCCCAGAGTGTATCATAAATCACTTTCTCCAATGGAGCACTTTTGCAGGCTGTAGAGATCACTCCCGGCTGCTGCGGGTAACCTGGGATAGAGCCTCGAGAAAGATATCCCTGGAATGTGTTTCTGTTTGTGGCTGCCGTGCTGCTTCATCAGTGTCCCATCCCCCTTGCCTATGGCAACTCGAGAGCAGGCCAAGGTTGCTTTGCAAGTTGACAACTAATCTCTCTAAAGAAAATTGTGTAAAGGAGGAAAGCATAAATACAGGTAGTTCTCAACTTACAACAGTTCATTTAGTGACCATTCGAAGTTACAACATCATTTTAAAAAGTGACTTACGACTGTTTAGCACACTTACAACCATTATAGCATCCCCCTGATTGTGGGATCAAAATTCAGATGCTTGGCAACTGACTCATATTTATGATGGCTGCAATATCCCGGGGTCATGTGATCCCCCTTTGGCAACCTTCTAACAAGCAAGGTCAATGGGGAAGCCAGGTTCATTTAACAACCATGTTACTAATTTAACAAGTGCAGAGATTCCCTTACTAACAGTGGCAGGAAAGGTTGTAAAATGGGGCAAAACCCACTTAACAAATGTCTCATTTAGCAACAGAAATTTTGTGGTCATAAGTTGAGGACTACCTGTATCAACTTGAACTTTTAGAGGAAAGGGAGGATAGAAATGTAATAGATATTTTCAGTAGTTATTTTCATAATATTTTGATTTTGGTTGTGTCTTTGTTATTTTTCAAAAAATGTTATGAAATCTAAGAAAATAAAATAAGGATCTTGTCTGGAAACTTGATTTACTGACCCATATAAATGCCTGAAGTTTTGGCACCCCTGAAAATATACAATATTTTGGCCAACTTTGAGCACAAAGGACCTGCCAAGCCAGTTGATAGTCTGTTGCTGCCCAAGGCTAATTTTTCCCCCTCAATAAATTCTCTTTCAATTTGCAGCATTACTGAAGAACTGCAAAGAATGCCATAAAGGGGATCATGGATTTTCAGCTACCTAGATTGAGGGGAAGACTATCTGAAGCCAATGATCAACTTCCTTTGGGGGAAGTGTGTTAGGAATATAATCTAACAGTTGGGTTGGCAATACATAACTCATGTAAAAATGTTGTACCTGTTTCTTTAAATCATACTGTAAAATGTGATTGGCTGCTGTTTTCCTCAATCAGCCATAAGAGGGAGCCAGAACAACAGTTAGTTCTCTGTTCGTTAGATGCTGGGCTGATCTGATCTGAGTGCCGTGAGCTATTGTAAGTTTTGCAACTGTTAGCAAACTTTGTGTACCAGACTGATTGTATGATACTGGACTACGTTATTTGGATTATCCCTTAACTGAAAGACGTTGATGACTAACTCTCTTATCTGTGTATGACTTGGGCTGTTTGATGGATTCTGATACCTCTATTTTAGTAAAAGCCTATTTAAATTGCAGTGTCTCTGGATGCTGGTTTGTGTGTTCTCCAACACAACTCTCACAACGCTTTGCTGAACGTATTTGCTCTCCCAACGGTGAGCTTACCTAATACTGGTTATAGGCCCAGAGTGTACCAGACGTAGCTAAAGGAGAACTGGTGTTGATACGCAATATGGCGAGCGACCTATCAACAAGCCTATCTATGATAACCTGATTGGATGGAACAAACTATGTTTCCTGGTCTATAAAATGCAATCTACTCCTGCGTAGGGAAGGCTTATTGGATGCTGTACAGATTCCACCAGATGTAACTGCATGGAATCCAGATAATGATGATGTTGCCAAGAAAATAGCAGATTTTCAGCAATGCAATGAACGGGCGTTGTGTATTATTGGTCTAACACTGAATGACCAACAATTAGTTCATATTTGTGGAGAAAATTCTGCTGCAAGATGTTGGGAGAATTTGAAAATGATTTATGTCCGTGACACTGTAGGTGCACACATACATCTCACACGCAAACTGTTTAGGGCATGCCTTCTGAAAGGTGGAGATATGTTAGCTCATTTAAACTTCATGAAAGGGGTTTTTCAGGAGCTACATGAAAAAGAACTAAGTGGGATAATAAATCTCATCTGATCATAAAGCAGAAATTAGCACAAATCAGTCCGATTATACAGTGACAAGCATCCATCCCAGGAGAATAAAAAGAATGGGCTAGTGACAATTAATTAATTATTAGACAATTACTATTGACAATCCAGTGAAATCCTCTTGTCTCGCATTTTCATCTTTCTCATAAATGAAGAGCTGGATTTCCATAGAATATTAAAATCAAGTGCGCTTCCAGTCAAGCTCAATTTCTGTGGATTTCATGCAATATCCATGCAGCTTTTGGAACAACTGGAAGTGCTGTACCATTATTTTTTTCTGGAACTTTCTTGTGAACTCCCAACTCTAACCTACAGTCTGGGATTTCTTGGCATTCACCCAAGGAAGAACTAAAAAAAACTTGCTGAGCTTTTTCAGACCTTTAAAGAAGAGCTAGGTGCTGCCACCTAATTGGGCCTGTAACAAGTAGAACAGACTATGATAGAGTTCACATCTCGTAGTTGGTAGAAGACAAGAAATCTGGTAATTATCTCAACCCATAGCCTCAAGCCATAGTATGGTTTATTATTTTGGATTTGGCATGCTCAGTGAACACATTAAATGGGTTTTGCTAATCCATGGTACAGTTTATGTAAATTCAGCCACACACCTCCCTTTTCAGGAGGTGATTTTCCTCACGCATCAGAATTTATCCCAAATCTCTCAAAAAGTTTCTCCAGAAAGGCTACGGTAGGAGGCTGAGCCTGAGGGAGGAGTCAAATGTGTCATCAGTTTTGAATCCTTTCATGCCCACAAGAGTTCTAAGTCCAGCCCACCTTGAATTCCGTTGACTCCTGTCTACCACCAATTTGCTTTGAGTAGTTGAGATTCTTTACTAGAAGTAGTAGCTCAGATTCTTGTAGGCAGAGTTAGCATGCAATAAACCTGTAGTCATTTCAACCACCTTGCTTCCTGATTTATCGTGCCTGACAGCAATCCTTGCCTCACCTGGTATTCATTGGGCCAAAACATGCTGACGGCGAGCTCCACCTGATGCCATTGCCGACCATGGGAGCCAGAGACATTCCACACCACGCTTCCCAGTGGCCCTCCATTCATCTTGACAAAGACATTCAAAGTCCCAGGACTGTGCCCATCCCGACTGTACATGAAGTAGCTGAACTGAAGGCAGTGAGTGTCATTTTCACTCAATGTCTGGAAGAGGATTTGTGCTTTCTGCCCTGGATTGTGCTGGGAGGAATTGACCATCAGATAAGAACCTGTAATGGAAAGAGAGGAGAAGAACACAACTTATTTAGCCAGAAATATTTGAATCTGAGGTTCTGTAATGATAATGTTGATATAAACTCATAATGGCATAAGAAACATGGACATGAATCCACAGTAACTCTTCGTATTCTTGCCATCCTTTGTAATGCAAGCAACCTTACAAATCCAATGTACAGCCTAGCAAAAGACATGTATGAGAAGACCAGGTGGAGGCAGAGTTAAGTGTATCCATCAGCTTAGAATCTTAATATTGCCATCAATGGTCCAAGCTTAACGTTTCTTGAATTCCGTTGACCTTATCTAGCGTCAATTTAGTATTGAACTTTAGTTCACTAGATTCTTGTGTATAGGATTAAGCAATAAATCTCTGAAGTGTAACCAAAGGTTTAGTCCTGATCCTTTGCACCTGGCAAGATATGACAAACTTCAGGCTTGCAAGATTTTTAATGCTGGTCCAAAACTCCAAGCCTATCAGCTGGACCTCAGGGCAAAACACTGATTGGAATTGGCAGAAAGTAGATTAAGGCTTCCACTCCCTTCTTGAAACCCCCATAACAACAACAACAACAACAACAACAACAACAACAACAACAACAATGTTAAGTAGCACAGTAGATCTTGGTTCATTTTTGGCACAATTTAGGTGAACTTAAAACAGTCCAAAATTAGTTTTTCATCCCGTTTGGATTTTCTTGTGGAATTTAAAGGGTGGGAAATGCTCTCCCCGTCTTAACATTAATATATATGTATCTCTTTCTTTGCAATGATTTTAGATTTAATCACCTACAGCAGTGTCCCATTGATCATTTTGTCTTTCTTCTGCTCAGTTTAGAACATTATGAGCATTTGAATCATTGCAATGTTCTTGGTGATAGCTATAACTGGTATCTATTGCATAAAGAGCTCAACATACATACCATCTTAAAACTCTGGTCACCTCCAAAGACACTGTATTTTTACACATGCAGGCAAACTAAGTGCCATAGCCTTAACCTTATCACTGCTTGTATTATAGTCAAGGAGACGTGATAATTATTTACCATTCCTCTAGAATTCCTTCAGCCTTTATTGCCCTGAAACGCCTAACTCCACCTGGATCAAGCCATTTAATTTCCATTCTGCTTTCTTGAATCATTTAACATTAGTTGCTTCTGACTAAACTGCACTCTGTTGGTTATTACAATACCCAGAGGCCATCAATGTAATAAACCTCAATGCTTCTTGGCAGCAGGAGTACAGAGCAGCTACCTGTCTTTCCGTAATCACGGATCAAAATTTTTACTTCCCGTTAGTCCATGGTACTTCCAGAAATATCAGAAAACAAGGATTGGTTCAAGATATATTACTTCTTGGGGCTCCTAGGTGAGAACTGATACCAGGTCAGATGTCCCTTTAAGCAACTCCATGAATGGGGACAGCACTGTGGTGGAATCACTGGCCAGGAACCAGTCTTTGGTCAATGAAAATCTCTCCAGAGATGGGGAGAGATCTTTGGGGTCATCTGTTTGCACTCTACTAGACCTGCTCCTCACAAGGAGACCTTCAAGCCAGGGTTTATCTCCTGGTGACTGCTTGTCTCAACAGTCCTTGCCCTTCTTAGAGTAGACCACATGAAACATCTTTGCTTTGCTGGATCAGCCCAGAGTTGTCCATATTAACCACTCTTGTACAAAGTCAATGAAGATGATCCAAGTGGTAAATTACTATTGCACGTGCTAGAGATATCTTGGTGTCCAGATGAAGCTTCATTCATTCATTTTGTCCATCCGTTCATCCATCCGTTCATCCATCCGTTCATCCATCCATCCACCCATCCACCCAACCATCCATCCATCCATCCAATTTCTGTACCTGTCCATTTCAAACAAATGATCATGGATGGCGAACAATCACAAAACCAATTAAAACCGTGTGCAACTGCAGCAGAAACATAAATATAGCAGCTGAGAAAAATGGTAAAAAGAAATATTAAGTAAAAAAAGTGTCCCTGAGCACACTGGGATCCCAACTAGGTCTTTAAGGCATTATGAAAAGCCAAGAGGGTTGGTGCCATTCTCATCTCTGGAGGAAGAATGTTCCAGAAGGTAGGGGGTATGGGCGAGAAGTGTTTTTTTTTTTCAACAGAAAAACGTGTGGTAAAATGTATATGCTGCCCGACTTCCAATGACAACAGATGTACAAAAGAGGTGGAGCTTACGCTGAAATACTCCATCTGTTCCTCATCGATTAGACTGTCACTCATTGCTATTATTGCTCTTTTTAATGTGTGTGTGTGTGTGTGTGTGTGT